GTAAACGTATGTATCATTCTATTTATTCATATAGGTTTGATGGAATGAAACGTATAGTAGGAGATAGAAGGATATGTAGATGGATCGCATGAGAATAATAGCGAACGTTTTACAGTTACGTTGTTTAGGTTATCGAGTTGATAATTTCATTCACGACATTTCACTTAATTGCTGAGCAAATCTACACAACTCATCTACAATGCAATACGCTCGGATCAATGGAAAGCAGCGATGTTACCTATAATTGCGTTGGATCGACACGCGAGTGCAGATAAACTACGCGATCGAGAAGAAAGGGAAGTGAAGGGAATGGCAATTGGCATGAAGTGGTGACGCCAGAAAAGTCGAGAGTACGATGAACGAGAGTAGAAAATTGCTGATATCGTAATGTTACTTCATATCGGCTACTAATACGGCAGCAAGAATAACTTGTATTCACGAATAAATAATTTTTTAGCAATGGTGATGCAATGGTTTATATGAAAAAACTTATCTATTAATTTCAAGATTAGGCACGAAAGTAAGTTGTATAAGTTTTTAATGAACTTTGTGTAAGTTGTGGAATGGAATAATTTACCAAATGAATCGATCTCTCTCGTTAAATGTTTTGCGCGGCTGCTTTATATTAGAATTTATTCGCTAATTGACGCTAGTAAATTTACAAAATCGTTCGTTAAATTGTTATTTTGTCGAATATTTTATATTTAAAAATTTTTCATATTATTTGACATCAAAATTTATAAACATATCAACTACCGCATGAATAGTATTTTTCACGATTGTTACGTAAGTAAATCATTTTATAAAAATTCTTATTTTTCTTCTTTTTTTTTTTTGTTTTCATTCCTTCCGAAAGAATGGATATGGCATTACGTAAATATTTGTTAAAAATCATACGACTAAACTACATTTTGAAATTAAATAGTTCAATAGTATCTTACACCTTTCATCGATTAACAATTTTGATTTATCATCGCTGCTAAACTCCGTGAATACAATAATTACTAATATGAAAATAAATTTTATTTTAAACTAAAGCGAATATTCTACGTATTATGTGCGTATAATGTTTTAATTGCCTTGATCGAGCTGTCATCGTCTAAGGCACATCAAAACATTAGACTCTCAATCGTCTAAAGTAACATTTAAATTCCTTAAATTTACACGCAAACAAATCGTGCAAAGTTATGGGAACAGAAGAAAGAGTTTACAAGTTTCTTAAGGATATAATATTGAATAATATCGAATATAACGTAATTAATTTCGATTCCAATAAGAGACCTTGGCATACGCCCAGTAGTCTCGTTTAGATCCTCATCGGTCACTTATTAAATATCAGCAATGAGAGCTTATCGACGAAAGCCAAAAGATAAACGAGTCCGCGCTAAGGCAAACGTACGATCCCGAGATAATAACGATAAAAGCCATGAATGCAAAGAGAAATTAATACATATGGTCGGGAGCAATCGTTTGATCATTGTTTAGTAATTGGGAATGGTAATTGTTTAGTTATTGACAGCGAACTTTTTGTGCTTCTAGAGCACGAGATTACATGCCCCCGAAGATCCCCGCATCGCCGGAGTCGCAGCAGCAGAATGGAGCTGACAGCCTCGCTACCCTCGACATCGCTGTTATTGGCTTTGGTCTTGACTTTACTTTCCATCCTGCGTCGATGCGACGCCGTCTCCGAGAGCATCAAAGGTGAGCTCCAAGTGTCCATATGCATGAACATTGTCGGCCAATCTACCCTCAATCACTATCATGGATCTTATTTAATAAATAATGATCCTTGCATTATTTTTATAACGGCGCATTATCGAGCTATCGAGTTTTATCGCTTTATTGAGGCGACACTGCTGCGGATTAGAGCGATTAGGTTTTTCATAGAAAAATCATAAGCCTCGATTTTGGATTAATTGATGCTGCAACTGCAGTGCTAATCTGCAATAGTCTACGTTCTAATAGTTGACGATGTTTAACAATTGCAATTCTAATATTCCTAATCTCGATTCCTTCTTCCTCTAATAATTTGTAAATTTCGTTTCCTATACTATCACTTGCCTCCTATACGTTTACTTTTTTTAATTTAAAAATTTTTTCTTTTTCAAATTGCATCAGTGATTGAGCAATTGAGAAAACTCAGCCTCGCTTAAGACATTTAAAGTGAATTCTTTTTTTTCTTTATAAAAGATAATTGATTCTGTTACACGAAGCGCTTCCATACATTTCCTAGCAATATGATCCCCGACTACTAATTAATGCCTATATAATTTTTCGCGGAGGGAACGTATCGCTATTATGTCTATACAAAATTTCAAATAATTTATGAGATGATAAGAGAAGACTTTGGCCTATAAATACTCTTTTTGACAAGTAAATAGAATCGAGCATTACTGTCCAACAGTACTGGATTTCATTAAATTTCATTAAAAAACTAACGGACACGACAAGCTTTTTACTTAAACTATTACGAGTAAAATAATGAATTAAAAAAATTAATGGCTGAAATGAAAATAATAGTGTAAAATAAAATACAAATCGCTTATGAATTATCCATTATTCAGATTATCCTAATTAATTCTTGCATAATTCTCAAGCAGTATCGTGTAAATTATTTTATAATTTTTTTCTTATAAAATTCTCATTATATGCATGTTCCAATAATTTTTAGTAAATATGAAATCAAAAATTAATCATCGTTTCTTATTTGATGTAACATAGTATAGTAGTATAGTATTATACACATTTTTCGTGATTTTATGCAAGTGGAGCATATAGATTTAACGAAAATTTTTTTCAAATATTTATAATGTCGCAAATTTCTTTAATTAAATATTTTAAATGACAACGGCCACTTAGTAATACCGAGTTCTATTGCGTAATATATGATGTAACTATTCATATTGCCTTAAGAGCGACAATTTCTTCTTGAAATTATGGATTTTAGATTTTATCGATACTTTTTCTAATTTAAAAAATGTCAAATAAAGGTGTAATTTTTATAGTTGCATACTTATTAATTATATAAAGAAAATTTTGAATTCTGTAAAAATGATCAATCCATTCATTATATTATTTATAATAAAAAGTTCAACACTGCCATTTTTTCATTTTTTAGCATCATGAATAAAAGGTTTTTGTAAAATAAATCTAATAAGCTAACATAATTTTTCACTTATCTTCGCCAATCCTGTGCTTTACATATATCATTTAAATAACCCTATATTAATATTAATTTATGATAATAGTCAATTAACTATAGGAAATATTTGATGTGAAAATATTATTAATTATAAATTGTATAGATGTTTATTGAACAAAAACAAAAACAAAACAAAAAAAATTATAATAACCAAGCAACAACTAATAATTGTTAAGTTTTATTCGAGTTGAATTAATTTTATTACCATTGTAGCTGCTTATCCATTCTATCACAGCTGCAAATATTAAATTACGATGAATATTATTTCTACATACGATAATTAAGAGATGAAGATTTTTATTATGTAGACATTTCCTTAAATAATATAAATATTTGTATTTCAATAAAGAGGCAAATATCACAACATATATATATATATATATATATATATATATTTTTTTTTTTGTTTTTTTTTTTATAGAAATTATATATAGGCAACGATAAAATATTATTTATTAATATTTAATTAATGAAGTATCAATCTCGCAATAAATATAAAGTATTAATTATCATAATTTATATTTTTACATGTTATATTTAGTATAGGATTCTATAAAAAATGTGAAAAAGTTAAGAATCGAAGCATTTGAAAGTAAGATTTCAAAGAAAAATATGATTAATTTAATAATATCTAACACGTAGACAAATATATTTTTCAAAATGTTATTTCGTTGTGACAATATTATTTTATTTTTTTTTTTAATAAAAGTGCACAGATATATGCAACAAATTTATTTGCATACATGCATTACTACTGAAAATCATTAAAGTACATGATAATATCATCTGCGTATTAAAGTATTTTTGTAGACATACGTATTTTATCTATATAAATTTTCAATGTTAAATTGTAATTAAATTGTATTGTAAATATGAGATAAGAAATTTTTTATTTTTAGAAAATGCGTAACATGCTGCTTTTAAAATTTCCATACGGCATGTATTTTAATATCTGTGTATCGAGAGAACTATGATTGATTACGTTGTTTCTCGAGTGAATTCGAGGAAAAGAGAGTGAAAACAGTATAACGGGGGTTTCACACATATATACAAGCACAGAAGCATATAAAAGGAAGATGAATATATAGACAGGCATACATTTGCATTTGAATATAAACAGAGAAAAACAAACATCTATGCATATATCCATGCACGTATGCGTAGACGCACACTCAAACGGGGGCTTATAAGGCACTACACACACACACACACACACACACACACCCACACACACACACATATATATATACACATACAGAGAGAGAGAGAGAGAGAGAGAGAGAGAGAGAGAGAGAGAGAGATAGAGAGACAGGTACGGAAGGCACTGCACGCGTCCAGGACAACACACATGGTTATCGTCACGATCCATTTGTGCCGTTTCGCTACATAATTCTTAAGTCGTTTACGTTATCTGCCATGATCTGTTTGTATCGTCAGCGGAGCTTATTTAGGCAAAATAAATACGAACCTCCAGAAGCTCTTAACTCTTCAGTATTTTACGTAATAATACGTGTTGTAGGTTTCATATTTCCTTTATTTTTTCATCTTTGAAAATTGTAATATATAACTCTAATGTTATAATTGCTGTTATTGTTTTTTTTTTCAACTTCCATTTCCTCTTTCTAATCATTTCTTTTTTCTACCTTAGTAGTCTGTTTCAGTAAATCTCATTGTGTTGTTGAATTTATTATCCTTATTATGCAAATTTTAATCCTTTTTTATTACTCTATTTAAACGTGTAGCAATAATTCAGCAGAGAACAAATGTTAATTAAATTTGATATTGATTTTATACAATTTTCTCCATAACACAATTTATGCAGATCTTATAAAATGGATATTGCTTAGTTGATTCAATACAACATTTTCATCGAGTTAGGTTTTTAATAATTTCCATATGATGTAGTAGCCAGTAGGCTATAATGACATGTATGAGTTTGCATTATATGAATTAACAGTGACATTTACAGTTAATAAAACATTATTGGCGATATTGATGACTGGATATATGAATTATGGAACTAGTTAAAGGCTAGAAAATTCATAAAATAATAATCATCCGAATTCCGTTGTTAATCTAATTAGATAATTGAGGATTTTCGGTTAAGGTAGAATCATTGGTGTCGGAGAAAAGTCAATGCAATTTTAGACTTTAAGGCCAATATAATCAATTACAATACATTAATATTATATATTAATGATAAAAGGTCATTTCTGAAAACGTCGTAATAGGACGTAACATTATGGATAAACGTTTATATTAATAATAATCGAAACCGAAGAGGAGGGCAATTAAATGTCTTATTCATTTATTAATATAATAATTTTCTGAAAATTAGTTTTGACACGTGTTACTTTAATGAACTGAAATTCATTTCCAGTTAAATAATTCGGAGTGTCATTAAGTAACGTACTATCAATTATCAATGAATTAACGTAATAATAAATATCTCAACTGATCAATGTCCAAGATCATTAGAACGTATTGACGTTCAGCTGAATGAAATGTAGTCGGAACAAAATTTTTTGATATTATAATAATTATTATCGACGTATCATTTAGTTTCTCAACGAGTTAAATCAATGCTGATTGTATAAGTAAATTTATAATAAAACAAATTATACGAATAATATTGATCCTCTATATTTAATAGTTTATCGATACTAATATTGAATAGTTAATTATTTCATTGGTATAAATCACATGCCAACTGTCATGATAGTTTAGATTTATCATCAGCATAAATCAATCATAAAAGAGATCATAAGGTACTCGATGTAATGTACAAACATAAGTACGCGACATGAATATTATTGTCCGTTCATTGCCATCACTTTTATTGCGATTTTCTTTGTTGATGTTTGCACCTATCACTCTTATTTTATTCAAATGATCGACATATGGATTCTCGCGAGTCTTTATTTTATATTTATATTTAGCATATGTAAAGTCGGTTATACAATTATTTTCCCGTTGCAAGTCCTCTTGGGATGCAGATAGTCGTATTACGTGGCTAACATTCCTGACATTGTCAAGGATTAATGATATAATCATGAATTAATTGGATTTTTACATTGGTCAATTAATTATATTAAAGTGTTAAGAGATATGGTGGATGATTAAGAATTTTTCTATTTCCTTTCCTTCCTGCATATTATAAAAAATATTTTATATTTCAATTTCATTAATTGAGTATAATTAAATGTTATTTTAATTTAATGTAAAATAAGGTATTGGCAGGTATTAAAAAAATTTATTAAAAAATTTTATCAATCTCATTTTTATCGGCAATATTCGTAAAAAAAATATATGAAAGAATTGAAATATAATGTTGATACAACAATGGCCAATGGTTTATAATGTCAACTGATCCAGAAATTAATTTAACAAACAACATTTTATGACTTAAACTATCAATTACTTTATTATTGAAGCTTTTATAATGTTCGAATTTGGAGGAACGATTGCTTAAGTTTCTTATAATTTCAATCCATGATTTCAATTAAAAGTCTTTTTCGATTATTAATTTTTAATTTTGCATTTCAAATTACTTGAGCGTAGCTGGTCTTCTTGTAGCAAGAAATTAAAAGAGCTAATTTAATAGTATTTTACGTTCACTTCAAAATAAATAATGAATCTTAAATTTATTGAAAATTAATGTAGTTATATTTGCATAAAGTTTTTTCAACATAATGATTTTTATAATCATCTCTCACGTCAAAAGCTAGATACTTTAGGCATACGTATTCTGTCGCTAAATTAATCTGTCAAATTCATCATTTTTTATTCGCCTTTAATAAGGTTATTTTAATACAATTATCTGTAAGAATAAAGTCAAACATTAAATAATAATTTATATTAAAAATTAAAAACTTCAATTATTTATGCAGAAAATGTATTCATGAATTTGCAATATTTTTAAAATATAATCATGTCTGTATATTAAAACTGTATATTACAAATTGAATTATAAAAAATAATTAAAGTCGAATTTACTATTTTTACATGAATCAGTATTAATAAAATTCATTCGAATGCTTAAATGAAAAAATATCCATATAAAAGAACGGATCGTCATTAAAATTAATACAAACGATATGAATTATTTATTATTATTTAGTTTATAATCATTGTATTTGCAGTATTATTTGTTAAATCGTGTTTTATTTTTAAAAATGTTTGAATAAAAATTACAAGTAAAGATGCATTTTTGCATTACCTAATCAACGTAATAATAAACGAATATCTTCTATATTATATAATTAAATGGATTTCATTATTTATAAAGACTACATTTTACGTCTTTATATTGGCATTCACTTGCTCAAATAGTTGTAAATGATAAATGAAATGTAGAATCGCTCGACACAATTACATAAAATTTTGCATTTCTCTTCATTGCATCTCGATAATATCATAAAGTTACTAAATTTAATAAAACTGCAATTACAATACTTATGAATTTTATATATTATGTAAGTATATATGCCGTTGTTTTAGCAGATGTACTATATGCGGTTGCAAATAAAAAATATTTTAAGAATTTTATGTAGAAGTACAATTGCTAGAAATTGTATTAATAGAAGGTGCGATAGTTTTGTACAACTATAAAGCAAAAATGAATGAATGAAGTTTTTATTACATTAGAGTAATGTAACAACGAAGATTTTATATAATAACTAGTTATTCTTGAAAACATCTTAATATCTCTTAGAATTTTATTATTACAAATGCATTTTAATTGTATATATTAGCAATATAACATATTAATTCGTCAACACGATATGAAAATTATATTTTACTGAATATAATATTCAGTAGTTCCATATTAGTGATCGGGGATGTTGAGGAAGTATTGGAAAATTAATATTAAAATATTATAATTATTTATTGCCTTTTAGCTAATTTAATTTTCAATTATATTAACAGATTGATGTAAAGAAAAGATGTAAAATATAATTTCTTAAATAAAAATAATAACGATATTTAATTTTAATAAAGAATTTAATAAAATTTAGAAATCAATTTAAAAATGAGAAGAAAAATATCGTAATTATAATTATTGAAGATCCAACGTAAATATATTACGATTAAAATTAAAATATATAATACGAATTAAAAT